AAACTCTTAATTTTTGCACACTTCACGTAGACTATACTGTTACAGAGGTGGTTATTTCAGAATATTATTATTTTCTGTGATCGTGTGTAACATACTCGTTCCAGTTATTGATGATATTTTCAATATTTTCGTCTAGGAAGTTTAAATAACAGTTCAGATGGTAAATCATTAAAATGAAATATGTAGAATTGACGAGTGAACTTATACAATGCTAGTTGCAACTACAAAAAGTTATTTGTGTCTGTAGCTTATACAGCTTCCATATATACAAGCAGGAAATCTTGAGGGTCCTATAGTACACAGAACGTGATACACATTTTTATGGATTGTATAATGTTGGCTGTAACGTGCAAGTTACAGAATGCTCTAATAATCAGTTGTGCTGAAAAGGAAATTCAAAAGAAACGTTTAGTATCTCAACTATTTCTCGCAGAATAGTTTTTGTTCTCATGAGAATTGGCTACGTTCACAACACCACGGGTATCATTTTAATACAAACTCCGTATGCAAAAACACCATGTAGCGAGTATGTTTTACATTTATAAACTAATCTGTAGACCACTGTACGTGTACTATAGTGTCTTACAGCGTGTACAACTCATGTTACTCCTTTTTTATTACATGTAATCTACTTCTAGAATATCACGTACAGTTGCAAACAAAACTATTGGCACCCTTATCTAAAGACATAATTTAAATGACTTTCTTAGAGCAAACGTTTCGTAGCCTTTGACCTATTTCAAACAAAATACATAAGTTGTACTTGTGTGTGTTAAAATATTTTTTGTTCTCCTTTTGCTTTAATAACAGTTTCCAAACGTCTTTGATAATCTTACCCAGAGTATTACACCTTGTTTGTGAAAACTGAGCCCATTCTATCCTAAAAACCTCCTTCAGTTCAAGTAAATTCGATATTATATGCTTGGCTGCCGTCATTTTTAGATCAATCCAAACCATTTCGATCAGATTGATGTTAGGTGATACTGAAGGCCATTCCGAAACTTTTGTTTTGTTTTTCCTTTAAAAAATTTCACAGTTGACTTAGCCGTGTGCTTTGGGTCGTTGTCTTGTTGAAAGATGAGCCTATGGGGCTGCATTCATTCGATCTCATGAATCCTATGAACTTCTGAAACAGCCTCTTTCCCCGAATATTATGATCGAACCTTGTTTAACTGTAGGTTTTCGGTGAGAGCTGATATTTCTTTCACGTTAAACATATCGGGTTTCATTTTTTGAGAAAAGTTAATTTTTGTTTTAATCAGACCAAAGAATTTTCTTGAAAATTTCATCAGATTTCCCTGTATACTTCTTGGCATATCAAAGACGTTTCTTTTTATAAGTTGTCAAATATTGTTTACATCGAGATCTACGTGCATTCAACCTTATTTAGATGTCTGTGTAGAATTGTTTTAATCACTAGTATTCCAGATATTGCGAAGTCTTTCTTTAAATCCTGAGTTGTTCTTGCTAACTGATCGAATTATTTTCCTAAATGCTACAGTCGATATGTTCCTGTTAGGTCCACTTTTCATCTTCGTTTCAGTTAAATAATCTTCTGACGTTTCTTGATTATTCCTCTGACAGTGGATTTGGGTACTCCAAATTTCTTTGGTAACCTTGATATCCAATTCCATTATTGTATTCCTTAATTGTTTTTCTCATATCCGGGGTCAACTCAGTAGTGTTAACCATCATGTGCTGAGAGAAATACACTGCTTGTCTTCAGATGATGTTCGGAGGAATCACGTGTTTTGCGTACAATCATTTTATAATGTAGCTCAATTAATACTTTATGGTTTTTAATCAATGAATAGTGCTTTAGCTAACTTAATTAAGATAATCGTTAACTTACAAAGACAAAGAGAAAAGGTGCCAAAACTTTTTTTAGCATCTCGTCATATTGGTTTCATTATATTACGTTACATGTACACAGTATGCATGTAATTTAAAAATATGTATGGATATTTTATTCGGGAAAATACTTGTATACATAAAAATTCCCACAAGTATATTATGCTTGTGAAATTAGATAAACTAACAATAAGGTTTTAGATATCAAACATTCAGTTGTATATAAAGGAGCGGCAGTGTTATTTGTAAGTAGAAAAATTGATTTGGTAATTTATTACGATAATAGATAGGTTTAAGTCCTGAGGAAGGAGGTAAATTGTTAGTAATGAAAATGGTAGTATTTTAAGATATAAAACATACCTCGAAGGAGAGGAATGACGTGGGTAAAGAGTTATGAGGAATGGTGATTGGGCAAAATATGGCTGTAATTGTTCAGGATTTGATTCGTACTACTGACCACATGTTTTAGTGTATTTATTTAAATATTCTCGTATATATGACTTTGCAACCTTTTAGTTATTTTTATTAATTGTGTTTTCTTCTGTTATATTTATGTTTTAAACATGTATGATGCCTAGTAGTTCTTGCATTTTTAGTTCTGAATGACAGCAGATGGTGTCGATTCTACAACATTTTGGACTGATAACATCTGCTGTCTCGTGTAAAAGTGTTTCATGTACTTTCATAGTGAACTAATGTGTATGAAGGACATAGCTTTCTTTCCTAACGAATCATCTGATAGCTCTGGTAGGTGGTTCATCAGAGCATGTAGGATACCACAGTGAATCATCTGATAGCTCTGGTAGGTGGTTCATCAGAGCATGTAGGATACCACAGTGAATCATCTGAAAGCTCTGGTAGGTGGTTCATCAGATAATGTAGGATACCACAGTGAATCATCTGAAAGCTCTGATAGGTGTTCATCAGATAATGTAGGAAACCACAGTGAATCATCTGAAAGCTCTGATAGGTGGTTCATCAGAGAATGTAGGATACCACAGTGAATCATCTGAAAGCTCTGATAGGTGGTTCATCAGATAATGTAGGATACCACAATGAATCACGTGATAGATCTGATAGGTGGTTCATCAGAGAATGTAGGATACCACAATGAATCATCTGATAGTTCTGATAGGTCGTTCATCAGATAATGTAAGATTCACAATGAATCGTCTGAAAGCTCTGATAGGTGGTTCATCAGATAATGTAGGATATCACAATGAATCATCTGATAGTTCTGATAGGTGGTTCATCAGATAATGTAGGATACCACAGTGAATCATCTGAAAGCTCTGATAGGTGGTTCATCAGATAATGTAGGATATCACAATGAATCATCTGATAGTTCTGATAGGTGGTTCATCAGATAATGTAGGATACCACAATCGAGCTATTTTAATATAATTATCTTTTCTTGGTTTATGGGGATTTTTTTTCTTCCTAAATTAACCCTTCGTTGTCTCAATTGTAAGCTTGAGTGTTTATAAAGAAATAATTCGGAGTTCGATTCACGCTGCCTACTCAGTGAAGGTAGCCCATTGTACAGCTTTATGCTAAAACAAGCAAATGTTTCTGGATTATCAGGCAACTTCATATGTATAGACGCTAATAAATAGTGCTCATAATATATAAAACAAGTTACCGTAGTGTGTGTGGCCCACCCTGTGCTTTTAATGTTCGTTTTTATAATATTCACAATTTTAACATTAATTAGTACGATTATAATGTATTTTCCTGCCTTTAATTATATTCACAAAATCGGTACTTTGTTTTTTAAAAACGAACTCCTGAGTCAACCAGACTATTGAACGATAGATATTCTGCCTCCTGAAGACACACATCCAGTATTTTCTCAACACTTCTGCAACGTTACAGAATATACATCATATTGTGAGTAATCCAACGCTGTTAGTCAACCGCAAAACTGAAAAGAATTGGAAGAAGATGGTGATTTTCTTCTTTTTTTTTCGGTAGATGGAGAAATATTTTACTGCAATTTGTCTGAGGTCATGGTATTATTGTAATACAATATCTATAGAAATTCTCGCAAAATCAGTAATAATCGGGAATTGTAAGGACAACCAACAGATTTCCTGTCCAGACTGCACATAGCTCGGAGGACAGGTTTCAGAAGTATCACATTCAAAGCTTACTTGCAAGTGTAAGGTAACAAAATACTCGATGTGCTAGAAGTGCAGCAGACGTGGATACGATCATGACCAGTTGCAGAAATAGCAAGCCCTAAAAGAGGCCAGAGAAGAATTTCCGTTGTTGCTAATAAAACAGCCGAAAAGTAGCACGTTTACCATGAAACCGTGTTTGTTTACTGAACAGCCGAAAAGTAACACGTTTACCATGAAACCGTGTTTGTTTACTGAACAGCCGAAAAGTAACACGTTTACCATGAAACCGTGTTTGTTTACTGAACAGCCGAAAAGTAGCACGTTTACCATGAAATCGTGTTTGTTTACTGAACAACCGAAAAGTAACACGTTTACCATGAAACCGTGTTTGTTTACTGAACAGCCGAAAAGTAGCACGTTTACCATGAAACCGTGTTTATTTACTGAACAACCGAAAAGTAGCACGTTTATTTACCATGAAACCGTGTTTATTTACTGAACAACCGAAAAGTAGCACGTTTACCATGAAACTGTTTGTTTACTGAACAACCGAAAAGTAGCACGTTTACCATGAAACCGTGTTTGTTTACTGAATCGTCGGAAAACGTGTACAACCTAGGACAGATTTTGCTTGTAGTTCAGCACAAAACTGTCTACATTAAATATCTGTGCTCTGGGTACCACGGGTATCGAAAACCGGTTTATAGCGTTGTAAGTCCGCAGATATGCCGCTGAGCCACTGGGCGGCCGACCTTGGACAGAGCGGCAAAAGTAGAAAAAGCAACAGCAAAAAAGACTCCTCATATCAAGACCACAAATCCCTATATTTTATTACAACTTTTCGGATTTATGAATCTCATGAACCCTACTTTGCTGCCAGAAATCACACAGTTGGTTCGGTTGATTCAAAGACTCGTTGTTAAATTTCGCAACGGTAAGAATTGATCTTTGTTGTGTTTTATAAATGAACTTAGTTGAATTTTGTTTTTTTTAGTTTTACAACTTATCAAACCATTGCTTTTACAGGAAGCTATTGCTCTTTTGGAACCGATGACCAATGATCCCGTTAACTATGTTCGCCAGGGAGCGCTTATCGCCTCCTCTCTTATTTTGATTCAGCAGACTGAAGTTACTTGCCCCAAGGTAAGTTTAAAGTGTTTGGCTAGACATCGTGTTCTTTATAGTTTTTATATGGCAGTTTCTTTGTGTAGCCTTTCTCTAGTGATTCAGTCAACAAACTACTGTGATTATTAAGAGTAATTAATATCATAATCTGAGAGTTTTAACAGCATGCTTAGAGAGCAGTTGTTATTATTATTGAAAGTAGCACGAAATTCCTTACTATCTAAATACGCATGCGCGCACACTTATTTCAACGCATATAAACAAAAGGCAGTTGTAAATATACTTTAGCAGATGTTTTGTACAACAACATATTAAATGCTTATAACAGTTTTTAAAAAGGTCTAACATTTGGTCGTAGAATAACATTATAAGTTTATTTATCGATAGTACTAAAGTTTAACCCTAATTAAACTCAAGCAAAGAAACGTACACAAGTTAGAGTGTCAATTTATCTATATCCAATGTAGGCCGTACTTAATAAAGGCTTAACTAATGTTAGGCCTAAGAGAGTGAACTTGCATATTTCGGTGTCTCCGATTAGAATTTTTTTGTATTATTTTAGAAATCCTGTATTTAAAGAAGTACTGTTGCAATAAAGATACTGATTTGACCGCAAGTGTTTTGTAGGTCTCTACAAGTATCTAAGAAGTATTTTCGTGTTTTAAGCGTCGCATATAAAACTGGTATATGAATATTTACCACATGAATTATTTAAGAGAATTCAGTTCGTTATTTTGCTTTCCTTTTGTCTATATAAGAGAAGTACTTTTTATTCTTATTTTTTTTAAATTTACTCCAGATTAAATTGTCAGATGTTTTATATCAAAATATTAAATACTTCAAAAATTAAGAAACTATCAAAGTGAATAAAAATGACTTTCCAGCGTCCTTTAAACTGAAAAAAAAACTCGCTTTTGTAATGAGCAGAATGGTTTTTAGTTTTCAGTTACCTAAACTTATGTTCATATGGGAGCAATAAAAACTACGAGTTGACTTTTATGTAAAAATATGAATTTTTCCCGTACTTTGTTAATTCAACTATAGAATATGTTTGCTATCCGCATGGTCCTAAAGCAAACTATAATTTGGTAAATTAAACTTAGTATAGAAAAAAAAAGTTTCATAGTTATATGTATTCGTTTAACAAACAAGACTCTAATCTTTCGGATGACCTTCAGACGCCTCTGTTGTAATTTGACATTGAACATGTGCAACATAAATTACATCCGATTTGGCAGTCACTTTACACGAGTCGTCTTCATAAATTTGAACAGTGATAATTATTCCAACGTGAAAGGATTCTGCTGTAGATATGTTTGATCTAATGTTATGTATTTTACATATTTTATAATTAAAGCAGAAATGCTGCTTTGGAAAATAATATTGACCTTACAGTTCTATAATTAATTGACACATATAGTATAAAACAATGAGTTTATCAGACTATATTGGTACACAGTTTTTCCCCCTACATTTTGTTTACAGCAAGCATCTACTTTTCATCATCTATGCTACGTTACTGGTATAGAAAGTATTTTGTGAACAGAACAGAAGTTTTACAAATATAATCAATGTAGGTAGCGTCGTGCGCACGTGCTGCATACCCATGAGTTAAATTAGTATGTTCCTCTAAGCAAGTAGAAAATGTTCATTTTGTTTTGAAAACTTAATATGGATGAATTTTAGAAATGTTAAGATTTTCGGTTACGCGTGCAAGGTATATTAGAGGAGCTGTACTTTTGTTTACTTTAAATATTTTCTAGTGTGTCCAAACAAAGTGCTGATTAAATGATCGTGGCAACTGCAAAGTGTATGATATCCATATCTTTTTAGGGTGTAATCGAAGTATACACTCTCATTTATACTTTTTCAGGTTAAAGACTTTCGGCAACTATACAGTAAAGTTATTAGTGACAAACACGATGACGTCATGGCAAAATTTGGCGCAATTTTAGCTCAGGGTATTATTGACGCAGGTAAGAAACTAAAAATTTTAGTATCTGGTCTTTTATTTTTGTTACATTTTGTATTTAGGATTGAAACTCATAATTTTTGAAACCCACATTTTTGTTGCTTTTTTTTTTTTATATCTCAACAGCATTGCCGTCTAATATGTATATAAAAACACGCACATAAGATTTCTGAAATGTAAGAACCAAACTAAGTAAACCTCGGATATTTAAGTAAAAAAAAATGTTTTTGACATATTAAAACAACGTGAGAACATTGAATGCATGGTAAATAACGTGTTGTTGCGTGTATGTTAAGTATATCAGCCACGGGGTTACAAGTATCGTAATCTTCTGTTTTCTTTCCACATCATCTGACCTTTTTTCCCTTGCAACTCGTTTAGTATGTTTGAAAAAGGCAAGTGAGCGTCTAAAGTGGTTCAACTATAAGAATTAATTATATATAAGCAGTAAAATACTCTTCTTTGGCAACCGGTTGGAACTTTTTCAAAGTTTCTCCAAATAACATTTTAAAAAAATATTAGCTGGATACGATAGTCATCATATGAACGACAACAGAATATCTTAAAAACACGATACTAAAAGATAATAGAATATGGTGAATTCTATGTGACCGCCTACATAACTTCTCAGTTTCGTGTTAGCCAGGCATAGTGATCTTTATATAACAGGAAAAACTAACTGAAAATAGTAATATTTATATATGATTATTTGCAGAACTAGCCTATGACCCACATCTACAGGGCCGCTATAATGCAAATTTAATTTCTTTAGCCAAGTTACGAACAGTAATTAGTAGGCCTAATTATTTAAATGATCTAATGTAGATCAATGCCAAGTTTGGAGTCCGCTTTCAGGGAATCCCCGTAAAAGTGCTTTCGCGAAATATCCAGGTTCCCAAAGGGGTTGGATGAAAAGTTTTAGATTTGTGCAAACCTGGGGGCAATTTAGAAGTTGGCGAGTCAAGCAGTTTGGGAAAAGGGTTTTTTTTTTCGGGAAATCCCCGGGTTACCCAAAGGGTGGTGGGAAAACTTTTACTTTTGTGCAAGCCTTACGGACCTAGAGGATTGGTTTGGTACCACTTAGAAGTCGGCGCGACCAACGGTTTAAGAGGACACAGACACTGAATCTTATATAGATACCATGTTATCGATAGACAATAGGGTGTCTTAAGAGATTTTAAAATTCTACATTTCGTGCTTTATGGATAGTTAAGGTTAATATTCGGTAACATTGAAGATGATAATTGTTACCTTATGTTATCAAAGACATCTTGTCGTAGGAATAATAGTGTATGTGGTATTAAAATCTTGTAATAAATAAAAAACATGTTTTATGATGTCGTGAGAAAAATACAACTTGGTTTTTACTGATTCGCCAGTTCTTGTGAATGATAGTGAAAGTTAATCAAAATAATATTAGTAATAAACTTAAATAAATAATCGCTGTTAAAATTAATAATAATGTAATTCCTACTGTGAAAATCTGGTTAGTGAATCACCTAAATAAAACTGGTAATAATTAAAATTTACTTATTTAATCTGTTTCACACCATAACAGTTGTTGTTCATGGAAATTGATACATATAGTGCCTAGATCAATATGTCTGTCGTATCCATGACGACCTGATGAGCCCTGGTATTAGGTGAAAGGTCTCGTCGGCACTGGATATGGCAGATATAGTGTGGTTGAGATATTATAACATATTCTTCTTTGCTTTTACTCGTGGCACCCTTGAACTTTGAAAGCCATGCTACGAAATCAGCATAATAAAGAACATTTTGGAACATAAGGGATTCAAGTTTTTTCATAGTTTTATATGATATATATATATATATATTTTTACATAACTTCGGTAGCTAAAATCACATAGTTTCGAATTTATTTTGTTGAACAGGTGGACGTAACGTAAGTATAAGCTTGCTGTCTGGAACTGGCCACACCAACATGGAAGCAGTGGTTGGGATGTTGATCTTTACCCAGTACTGGTATTGGTTTCCATTGTCCCACTTCATCTCGTTGGCGCTCAAGCCCACTGGCTTAATTGGACTCAACGTCGACCTCAAGGTACCATTACTCGTTCTTGTTAGTTATTGACTATATCATGGTGTGGTATTACATTAACTTTCATATACACACATAAAAGAAAATTTATAATATGAGAGAGAAAAAGAAATAAAAACCCCGTTAACACACAGTTAAAGAGGTATTGAAAATACTCTCAATCGTTCGAAAAGGAGCACAGAAAAATCCTGTTGCAAGTAATTCACCGTTTAAACAATATTTCTACAGTTACATATGTGAAGTTTCTCCATACATTAGATAGCCTCTCAATCAGCCGGTTATTTAAATTCAGCAACGTCTATTTGAAAGACTAGCAGAATTCTATATTTGTGGATCTTCAACAGAATTCATCACAACTCTGTAAGATTTTTTTCTATTAAAGTAGAACAGTTTTTCCTTTTCTATTAAGAAATCCATTACTTTTTTTTTGGTACTTAAATTATTGCAAAAGTTGACCTTAGTCATTTTCAAATTCAAATCATTTTCGTATCGTCTTTTTTATTGAAGGATCATGTTCATAGTTGTTACTTATCCGTTTCCAGCTTATCTATAGATAGAGGAGTCAGTGGAAAAAACGTAAGAGCCAGAATGTCAGTAATTATAATTGTACGAATGTAAATAACTAAATTTAAGAATCAAATTATATGAATGAAGCGTTTGCACTGTTATTAATTTTAGGTATTCTTCACATATATGGTATTTATTAGTGTTTTTTTTAACCATAAGATATTTTCACTTTATATTGTGACACAAGAGGAAGGATGATGTTTTTTTAATGTAACAGAACACCGTTCTCTTAGTTTTTGTATAAAATTTGCTTAAAGACTGGACTTGAATATAAACAGCGAGAAGAACAAATATATAACTTGTTTCCACATTTTCTTCGGATTTCACTACATTATTCTAAAAGTAATTCCATTTTTTGACGATTGTTTAGTCCATGTAGTTTCAAGACACACAAACATATGTATATTTCTAATATTGAATTTCCATAAGTTATGAATTCTTTATTAGTTCTTGAGTAATGTTCTCACACACTTTATAAATGATCAATTTTCCTCCATGCACGAAAAGTTCGCTATCGAACTTACTAAGATGTTGTGGTAATACCGGATACTGATGTGTGAACTTCCGATCTGTTCGTAGCAAGGCAACTAGATAGACCTATTGCTTCCATCAGTTCTCTGTGCCAAGCACTCCTGGTGCTACATAAAGATGAGGCGAACTTCACGGTGATCTGATCGTGAGAAGATCTTGAACATCAATAGAACCGTTCAAAAACGTTCACAGGAGAATGTTAAAAATGATCATTTTCATTAATTCACTGTGCGTTATATACTCTAATGCTATTGTTTCTTATACCAAAGGTTACTGACTTCGAAAGAAAGTTCGTGTTGTACAATAATTTAAATGTTTTTAGTACATTTCTTATGGTAAATGGTTTTTGTATCGTTTATATCAGTTAAGAAGACTTCGCGTTTAGTTTTACTTTTCCGAAACAAGTTATTTGAAATATAAAAATAAAACTTCGCAGGTTAAATTAATAGCGAATTAAGAGTATAATCGAAATTTACTTTTTTACTATTTCTTGCATAATAGGCCTGGCATGGCCTGATGGTTAGGGGACTCGACTCGCAATCCGCGCGTTGGAGATTCGAATCCCCGTCACCGAACATGCTCGCCCTTTCAGAAGTGGGGACGCTATAATGTGATGGCCAAATCTCACTATTCGTCGGTAAAAGAGTAGCTTAAGAGTTGGCTGTGGGTGGTGTTGACTAGCTGCCTTTCCTTTTGTCTATTACTGCTAAAGTAGGGACGGCTGGTAGCTTTCGAATGGCTTTGAGCAAAACTCATAACAAACCAAATCAAACAAATTCTTTCATGATCTAAAGTTTTAGTATTATAAGTTTTAAGATTGCAAGAGTTAATTGTGTGTTTCTAGTACGTGTGATATCGTTACAAATTCTTAACTTTTTAGCCATGGCATAGCGGATCATAGAAGGCTCTGAGATGTTTTATTTATTTTTTTCAAATACCAAGTTTTAGCTCATAGCTCCGTCCTTCCATGACCGATTTGTGATCTAATTATTGTTTTGGACTTAGGGGGTCAAACCATTTCGATCGATGTATTTGACCACACCCAAGGTCTCGTAGATTAATTTACTCTAATTCTGCCTAAAAGAATTTCAATATGAGGGTAGGCTGGTAGCGATCCTGGTGAATAATAGAATTGAATCGTGTATAAGCGCGCCCCACATTTGGTATTGCTGGCGCACAAAAGTATAGCTAATAAAAGGGGAAAAAATGTCTCTTAGATTAATTTACTTTAATCATGTTTGAAAGAATGTCAAATGCCACGACTATTGAGTATTTCCTTTTGTTTTTTCTTCGGGTGTCCTAGGACATTTTTAAATAAAAATCCTAAACATACTTGGGTGCCAAACAAATTTTGAAGCTGAAAGATTGTTTCCGACAGCATTATATTGAAATAAAGTTAATTGTGTGAAGGTGATACTTTATAAATTAATTTCTACCGGCCAGGTCAGGGTGTGTTGGTTTATTAACTTATGAATCGTCATATTTTATCCCACTGGGACATCCACAGACTATATAACGTAGGAAAGTTTGGATTTTTAAAATATCTTAGGCATCATGTACTTAGTGAAGAGGTTTGCCTACTTACTTTGGTAGATCCATTGTCATCTGTGGAACAAAGCGTGTTCTTCAAGACAGAAGTCAGTCACAGTTAACAATGCTTTTTAACATTACCAGATTTTATTGTTTAAGTGTTTCTGATGGTTAGACAGTGACTTTTTATACATGGGGCGTATATTATCAGCACTTACTACTTTGCAATGAGCTACTATTAACCAAAATTGCGACATAGTGCAAAAAGAAAATGCCGGTCGATGTGTATATTATGTTATGAAAATAAAGTTGTCTCCAAAGTGGTTCTTGATTCTGAACATTGAAATATCTTCAGATTAAATTTTATCAGAATTCACGAAACTTGAATCGTTGACGAAACCACGAGACGGAGGACGCTCATTTCAACAATCTTCAGCTTATGACATTATCAGGAAAATGATGTCTAACAGTAACTTACGTTTTGCTTGAACGTCACAAACTTACATGACCAGAAAAATGCATTCATACGGCTCACATTACAGCCTTTCTAATTCCTGTAGCTGTAACGTGAACCATATGAATGTATTTCTAATTCCTGTGGCTGTAATGTGAGCCGTATGAATGTATTTCTAATTCCTGTAGCTGTAATGTGAGCCGTATGAATGTATTTCTAACTCCCGTTACATTCATATGGTTCACGTTACAGCTACAGGAATTAGAAATACATTCATATGGTTCACGTTACAGCCACAGGAATTAGAAATACATTCATATGGTTCACGTTACAGCCACAGGAATTAGAAATACATTCATACGGCTCACATTACAGCCACAGGAATTAGTAATACATTCATATGGTTCACGTTACAGCCACAGGAATTAGAAATACATTCATATGGTTCACGTTACACCCACAGGAATTAAGATGAGGGGAGGCATTTAGACAGAATGACATTTTAGTAAATATTGTAATTTGACTTCTTTGGGGCATGCGAATTGTAACTAATATATTATCCGCATACAAGTATGAATAAGTATATTTAACCGTGAAAAGCGAAATATCATCACAATAATTATTTTTCTTTTTTGTATTTTGAAAATACTGTGTATTGGCAAGATTATGCAAAGCATAGATAATTTATAGTGAAAACAAAGACATTTTGTTTGTATAAGATTGTGATTTCCGACACCAGAATAATTAAAAATGGCGCCCTTGTAAGCTAAAAGAATCCTTCTTTTAGTTTGACATAAGTGTACGTACATAAAGCACTAAGTATTCCTATTGAAAACTAGGAATTCATTTTCCCACGAGGAAACAAACTTACTTCTATCACTGATGTTTTACGACATCTCGAAGGAAACGGGAGCTCGATCTAAACTAAGTGTCATGCCTAGTTTGAACACATCCTCCAGATGAGGTATTGAATTACTGTAGCCTTTAATGGAAGAATTTCACCGAAATCTGTATAGTTTAGTTCAAAAACTAAACTTCGGTATGTCATTAGAATAAGAGCAGTTAGTACAACTAACTATTTCTAAATACACATCGAGCCCTTTTTTTTTGTTCAGTATCGTTATGATTATATATTTCAAAACTTTAATTAAAATATAGTTTGTATATATTCTTAGATATTTATTTTTAAGGTGAGAAACATGATTACATGAAAAAAAAAGTCTGTCTTACCAAGGCTTCTATTTTTTTTTCAATGCAAAAGTTTTATAATTTTCTTACTAACTATGGGTCAAATTACGCTATATATTAAGTAATTTCATAACATAGGTAAAAGAGTTAAGTTGAAACATGAATTGAATAAATCTATGAGGTAAACTTTTGAGGTAAGTGGGTGTGTGTGTATGAAGTTATAAAATAGCTTGTAGGTGGATGAAGAAAAGTTGTGAAGCAGTAGGTATTTAGGTGTATGAAGTCAAGACATCAAATAATAGTTGGATGTATGAAGTCAAAAGATCAAATAGTAGTTAGACGTATGACATTAAGACATCAAGTAGTAAATGGGTGTATTTTGTGGAAATTCACACTTTGTAAATATTCTGTAAAATGAATTATTCATAGTCATAAAAATTGTTTTGTAGTAGGGTGTTTCTAGAAAATTCTTTTTTTTTTGCGGGATCTTTGGTCCTAATCTCTATTTTACTCGTTTCTATAGCTTCATAAACATAAAAATGAGCATAGGTAAACTATTTATAATGATACGAAAATGTGTGATGACCCACATAATATATAGCACATGGATTCCCATGTGTTTTTACAGTAACTTAGTTTAGTATTACAAGTAACCTCTTAGTAGTTAGTTTGTAATTAACTTTTATATTACTGTTTATATTTGTGATCCTTCTATAGAGTCGAGCTTTTGTAG